CACACACACTACATTCATACACACACACTGCACTCATACACACACACTGCACTCATATACACACACTGCACTCATATACACACACTGCATTCATACACACACACTGCACTCATACACACACTGCACTCATATACACACACTGCACTCATACACACACACTGCACTCATACACACACTGCACTCATACACACCCTGCACTCATATACACACACTGCATTCATACATACACACACACTGCACTCATACACACACACACACTGCACTCATATACACACCCTGCATTCATACACACACCCTGCACTCATACACACACACTGCATTTATCATATACACACACTGTAAATATTCAATTAATATAATTTTTTTAGGATCTAATTTTATTTAGAAATTTACCAGTAGCTGCTGCATTTCCCACCCTAGTCTTATACTCGAGTCAATACGTTTTCCCAGTTTTTTGGGGGTAAAATTAGGGCCTCGGCTTATATTCGGGTCGGCTTATACTCGAGTATATACGGTATAAAAGGAGCAGAAAGAGTCTGCAAGGAGCAGAAAGGGATCAGAATGAGAAAGGAGCAGAAGGGTGCAAAATAAGCAGAAAGTAGCAGAAAGGTAAAAGAGCAGAAGGGGCCAAGGATAGAAAACAGTGTCAGAAGAAAAAAAAAGACTGTCAAATGAAGGAGAGGAAAAGGAGATTGGAGCAGGAAGGACAAATGAAGTGAACCCTCCACTTTATTCTGGACACCACATCATAAGGCTTTGGTACCTGGGCCAGGCAGGGAAACGCTGGACCTTCTCATCTCCAAAGGTAAAAAAATATCAGTATTAATGTGTTCACTTTTATTTACTGAGTGTCAGGAAGCACAGAGTGCCGTTGGTAGGGGTGTTGCTGATTGGCTAGAGCGGTCAGCTGGCACTCTAAGCTAATCAGTAGCTCCCCATTCATAAAAAAGTAAAAATATTTTATGAACCGGGAACTAGCGATTGGCTTAGAGCGTCAACTGTCCACTCTAGCCAATCAGCGGCACCCATGCCTGACGTCATCTGCACTTCCTGACACTCTGTTTCAGAAGCCAAATACCACTGAGCGACCTGGAGCTGGAGGAAGCCTTTGGGGTTAAACCATTTGAGAGCGATTTAACCCCTTAAAGGAAAGCGAGCACCCAGGGGCTTCCTGGCATCATAGCATTTTCATTTAGGTGAAGTTGTTATGGTGACCAGATATGTCCTTTAATTTGCTTAAAGGAACACTATAGTGTCAGGAATACAAACATATATTCCTGACACCATAGTTGTGAAAACGCTATTCACCCTGGCTTTATGTGATAATGGCTATGCCCCTTCCCTTTCATGACACTGTCAAAAAGGTACCAAGCATGGATGTCATTATAATTATGCCCCCCCCTGGAAAAATTCCTGCGGACGCCCATGCGCGCAGTGCCCCAAATTTGCAGTAAGAGGACCGACCAAGCCTCTTCTTCCATCTCCCTGTTACAAAAATCAATGCCGTGTACACGTCCACTGATAGGAGACGCGGAAGGTATTAAACTGAACAGTCTCTATTCTGCTCTTGCATTTCTATTTCTTCATAGAAAACGAAAAAATTCTGAGAAGACGTTGGCAGGGCTATTCACTTGTGTGATCTGTCATGAATTGTCATTTGAATGTTATTTTGAACTGTGGGGCACAAGAACTTGAATCTGACAAAATGGCTGCCATATACACGTCCACTGATAGGAGACGCGGAAGGTATTAAACTGATCAGAACAATACTAAACACACCACTCCTTTTTTTTGGTGAGGCTTTACAGGACAGAGTGCTTCTCCACGGGACATGTTAACTCACGGGCAGCTGGCTCATCAAGGAACCAGAGCAGCTTTCCATGTACAGGTAAGACACGTGCAGCCGGTAAGGGTTCAGGCTCTTCTTCCTGGAGGATACGCTGCAAGCCTGTTGAACGAGGTGACCTTGCTCGGGTCCCAGGTGTACGGTTCCTAAAATGGTTGCCATATACACGTCCACTGATAGGAGACGCGGAAGGTATTAAACTGATCAGAACAATACTAAACACACCACAAATAAGGTTTCTCTCCTGTATGGCTCCTCAAATGATGCTTAAGATTAGAAGCGGCTGAAAAGCATTTCTCACACTCCGAACAAAAATATATTTTTTTAACATTCTTTCCACTTTGAACGAAATGACGTTTGGGAAGAGATTAACATAATTAAACACAGGCAGTAAAAATACAGTTTTTAGCCATACACTGTAACTTTAAAACTACACATCCCATCTTCATAATTACATATTTGGACTCAGCACACTTAAAACATAAACATAACCAAAAATCAGCCAAATACATCCAGGGGTTAAAAAGTTAGCTGGAGGTCCCTTTATGACCGACCGCAAGCACATTTTCCTGCCCAAAACAGTTCCATAGATTTGGGCTGTGAGGTCGGTCTATTTGCAGCTGTAAAACCAGTAGGGGAGAAGGTAGAGCTCAGCGGTGTTTGCGGAAATGTGTAGCCGATTTTAGTTCCATGAATTTGGCTACACATACCGCTGACCTCGTCGAATGATCAAAGATGGCCGCCCCACGTGTTCGGCAAACGAACAAAGACCTCCCAGCATTGTCAATTAAGCTGCGGTTAACCGCAGCTTCTGGGAGGTAAATTGCCTGCACCAGACCCGGACTGGCCATCGGGCACACCGGGCAAATGCCCGGTGGCCGTGGGGCCGAGGCCGGCAGGGGAGGTCCCAGGATCTCCCCTGCCGGTCTATGCAGGGCCGGCACTATCCTTGCGCCGGCCCCGCTGTTTGCCACGACGGGCGGTGGGGAGATCAAAGATCTCCCTGACCGGCCCAAATGCTGCCGCCTGCGGGGAGGGAGGGAGACAGCCAGCTAGGCTGGAGAGAGAACCCGACGGAGCTCTAATTTGCAGCTCCGCCGGGTTCCTCTCGCGAGATCCGGCGCGTTGCCATGGCAACGACCGGATCTCGCGAGAGTGAACTCTAGCCTCACAGGCTAGAGTTCACTCACCCAGGACCACCAGGGAACACTGCCTCCCCGCCTGCCATTCCCAGCGTGCCGGTACCCCCCTCCCAGGCTAAAGGTAAGAAAGGAGGGGGGGACATAGTGTCTGTTTTTTTAATTTTTTTATTTACCCCCCCCTACACACACACACAATAACATTTATACAGCACTCTCACACCCATCACACTCACAGCACTCTCACACACACACAGCACTCTCTCACACAGCACTCTCACACCCATCACACTCACAGCACTCTCACACACACACAGCACTCTCTCACACGGCACTCTCACACCCATCACACTCACAGCACACTCTCACAGCACTCTCACAGAGCACTCTCACACACACAGCACTCTCTCACACACAGCACTTTCACACACACAGCACTCTCACACCCATCTCACACAGCACTCTCACACAGCATTCTCACATCCATCACTCACACACAGCACTCTCACACCCATCACTCACACACAGCACTCACACACGGCACTCTCACACACCACACCCCTCACACACACACATACTGCACCCCTCACATACACACAGAACCACCCCCCCCAACACACTGCACCACACACATACACAATACTTCCATATATATATATATATATATATATAGCACAGGAACAGTGAATACTATACACTGTTAAATGTAACTTTCCTGTGCTCCCTCTATATAACTCCTTGTGACCTTATTATTGTTATATACAGTTATTTTGTAACTTTGTATCTTTGGAATACAACTCACTCTGTATATTTAATTTTATTGTAAAAAACGTTGGTTTTTGCACAGTATTAGGAGAAGTATCCTGAAAACTTCTGAACAGGACTTCTTTTTTGACTTAAAGGTATATTTAGCGTGAGTTGCTTTTTCCTTACAAGATTTTAAATATTTTGTTTATTTTTATTTTTTATTTAATTTTTTCTGAATTTATAGCACACACACACACACTACACTCTTAAAGGACCACTCTAGCCACCCAGACCACTTCAGCTTAATGAAGTGGTCTTGGTGCCAGGTCCTTCTAGGG